AATAACCTAGCCTACTGGTAATTCTTCTCTCTAACTGGAGTTAAGTCACAAGAAAAGACTTTGGGGTGATTTTTTTTCTCCCTTCTATACTAGAAGGGAGAAGAAAGAACTGCCAATTTCAGAGGAGTTAAAGACATGAGAATTGTCCCTGTAAGAACACCGTAGAGAAATTTCAGTCTGGGAAATTTGGTTGCAGAGGGTGTGCGTGAAAAGGAAACCAGAAACAAAACCCCTGTGACAAATATAAATCTATTTACCACGATGCATTAAACATTAGTGTACCTTCAATCATGAAGCTGTAGCTAATTTCATACCCTGCAAGGAAATAACCTCCTTATTTGACAAGTACTGTTAGAAGCATTTAGCTTTGGGGGTTAAGAAAGTGTGCCGTACACTTTATATGTTACACTGATGTCAGGGGATATAAATTATAATTACAGGCATTATTATTCAGAGATGCTGGAACTCCTGACTTCTGCATACAAGCCTCCTTCCTGCATGGGCACCTCCTTGACTTACTGGGCTGTGACAAAGGAAATCTCCTATCAGCCCTGTCTGGATGCCTAAGAACGGTTTTCAGTAATAAGAAAACTGTCCTGAGAAATCAGATACTTGCATGTCTTTAAAACGTCTGTTTTACTGTTTCTTCTAAGATTTCGTTCTCCATCTGCTTTGAGGAAAGCAGATAGATTTCAGCATGGCTTTATGCTAAATCTTCTCGAGGAGGGACTAGCATTAACATTTGTGTAGGCTCTTTTTCATCTTAATCCAACCTTAGTTAATAATCAGAAAATTCTACATAGTGGGTAAGAAGATGTAATTAACCCTTTGACCCCAGAATCTTAATTGGTGCCTGTTGAAAACAGTGGGCAGTTTAAAAAAAAAAAAAATTAAAGAAGTAGCCTGCAGTGATTGAACAGCCCAGTATATAATAGCTTTCCCGATTCCAAATTTTATAAAATTCCACAGAACTTTCAGAAGAATCACATCTGGTGTCCAAGACTCACAGACCGAATATTTCCTTCCTCCTATCCCTTTTTTAAATGGAGACACTGAAATTGATCCAACACTGAGACAGCTCTTCAAACTTTTCTAGGTGGCAAAATACAACTAATGATAGACAGGGATGACCCCAACTCAGAAGGTAATGGCTGTGTGACAAGTGACCTTGTGAATCTACTTTATACCTGAATTCAGATCACATTCTTTATGTGAAAGGTAATCAAACCAGAGTTATAAACATTCATCTCAGATTATATAGATCTAATTGACTAAAATGATAAGCATAAAAGTGAAAAGTATGGTTATTTTACCAGGTTTTTTTTTAACCTCTGTTGATAACTAACAACTAATCGAGTTCTTTTTCCCCCTACCAAATTGGCTGTTATTTGTGATTGAATTGACTGAATGTCTTTGTGTCATGTAGACATAGACTCATTTTAATCTCACCAGGAAACTGGAGCATGTGTTGAAGCCTCTGCTTTTGCCAAACAAAACTGGCCAGTTCTTAGATCGCTGCTGCTTAATAGCATCAGATGTTTGGCCTCCAGATACTCCTTTTCCCTGCTGTAGTGCCCAGACTGCTGCAGATATTTCAGTGAGTCCATGAGCTCTGAACCTAACATTAAAAACCACAATCCCCCTTTAGTGAGAAAGTAAAAGATATGTGTAGATGGCAAGTGGCATATCTTTTTAGGAAGAGCACTGGATGGTTGGAGTAGTATAAAAGAACCCACTCCAACTCTGATCTTTCCAGTATCAGGAGCTATTCCCAGACCATATTAGAAATCCGTAGCATCTGAATCTGCAAATGATCTAACAGCTCCATAAACAGAACTCTCTGAGAAAATAATTCCCATCCTTTTTAGTCATTTGGCATGCAGGATGTATAGGAACGGGAGCTTAGAGCTTGGAGGTAGAAGTGGATTCTGTAAGTCTTGATGGCGCATTGTTAGGTGCTGGCTAGACATAGATAAATAAGGTATTCCCTCAGTCTAGCTGGGAATTAAATCGGCCAACCCGGGCTGTACACTATACCATAAATGCTTTCCTAATATTCTGGGAGTAGAGGGGATTTAATCCTATCTCTGCCTGCTCACCTGCTGGCTGATCTTGTTCAGCCACTTAACCTCCCTGTGCTTCAGTTTCCTCACCTGTAAAATAGGAGATTATTGCCACACCAGCTCCATCAGTCCTCTTCTGCTGTCAACTAGCCTGCCAACTTCCACTTGTCTCCTTACCAGTCCTCCTGTGATCTCTCCACATTGATCATGGACGTTCAGGTGTGAGGAGGTAGCTGGGGCAGTTCTCTGTGATCACCTGGAAACCTAACAGAACCCTTTTCTCCAGGGGGACAGGTGGTCAAATAGAAGAAGGTCCTAATTCTCATGAGTCCTTCTCAGGGGACATCTTCTTTGAAGTAAAGACATGTTGAGAAAAGAGCCTCCCCAAGCTTGTAGGAAGGGACCATCTCTCCCTTTGCACTGGTTGAAAGTGAGTTTCTACTGTACCACACTCTGGGCCTGAGAGCTCCTGTCTGACAAGGCTCCCAAGGGTCTGGCAGTTTTCAAAGGTAAGGAGCCCAGTTCTCTTAGACAATATTTTATTGCCTATAACTGGCCCAAGGGGACATATTACAGTGCAGAGGAGACCAGGTGACCTCTTGTGGAAATAAGTTAGGGACTCTCTTGTGATCTCACTTCTCCTTTGTCTCCTACCCCAATGGGGAGATTCTATCATTTGAACAAGTCATTCAAAAGCTAGTGATGATATCTAAGAAGTCATAGGCTGCCTCTTAATATACATATTTTAACTTCAGAAGTGCTATGAATGTTTATATTTTCATTAATTCACACATATCAGTTAGACTCAGTCTAACTGTTAGAGAATCTTTAATTTTAGTAGAAGGCCATATAGCTAGTTCTTCATTATGATTGACAAGGCTCAAAGTCAGACTCCAAACTAGGGGATAGGCATGTTGCCTAACTTCAGTGCACCTCAATTCCCGGTATATAAAATGTAAAAATTGAAAGATTAGGTGCAAGCTGCTTAGCACATACTGTTTAATAAATGTGAATTGTTTTTATTGTACTGTCCTAACTAAAGGCTTATCTATCTTGTAATTTGTTTCTTTATGGAGCAATATAACGTGACTTTTGACTTGTTTTCAGAGTTCAGTAAATTAGATGAAGGGGTTGGAAGCTACTCACAGTTTCTGACCAGCAGGGCAATAAAAACAGGTCAGGAAGCATAGAAATCCAAATTTTACATGCACACACATGCTGATATACATACATGTATACATATATAATATAGAACTTGTTTATGCATACATCACAGCTATTATTCTATGAGGTCTGCCAATTAAGTTCATGAACTTGCCACTGTGCATTTACATTGGCAGCCCTGTATAAACAACTCAGTAAGGTTTCATAACCTTGGAATATCAGTGTCTCACAGCTATGTTTGTGTGGATGTATAGCAGTGTCTTGTTGAGAGATGTTCATTATTGCTGTTGCATGTTTTGGGGCACTGTATGACAGCTCTGATGGTCATTCCAGAAAAACAGTTCCAAAATTGCCTTGAAAGATGGACCAGGCACTGAGGTCAGTCAGTGCACAGCTTCTCAAGGAGAGGACATCAAAGGTGACTGCTGTGATATTCAGCAATGAAATATATAGCACTTTTTTAGGACAAGATCATGAACTTAATTTTCTGACTTGCTATTTCCCCCCAAAATTCAGTATTTTAGGAAACCAAATTAATGCTAAGATTTGAGGGGGCATATATTTCTAACTAAATTTTACACAACTTGCATCTTTCTATATTTTAAAACTCCTGTCATTGACTTAGCGTTTCCACGTACCTTGTTTCTAGTATGAGTATCGTATATTTGCAAATTCACAATTTTTGTTAACATCACTAATCTTTAAAACTTCTTTTTCTGTGCAAGCAACACTTGTATAATCTACCTTGTTAAAATAAATAAATAAAGCCAAACAAAAGATGTGAGGGTGATGGAGGGCATAAAATGCCCTTGGTGCAAAAATTTGAAACAAATCATTCTCAATATGCAGCTGGAGTTCATGATGAGTTTGTACCATTCATTAAACTGAAAATGTACCCTCCAGTTGGAAAGTGGTCTGAGGTTTTAGAAGTTACAGATGATGCGTAACGTTTTCCTTCCCTCCTTCTGTCCCTCCCTCTCTTCTTTCCTTCCTTTCTTTCTCCTTTTGTTTTCATTTTAGGAGTTGTGATGGAAACTAGACCTATAACTAAAATTGTCATATAGAGCTTTGCAAAACAGGATTTCAGTTTGTAAGGTTTTAGCCCATAAATATTCACCCATAGTGTATTACTTTTCTCATTTGTTCTAAAACAAGGGGCATTGGGAGTGGGGAGGACATAATTTTTTATTAATTAACAAATTGGTTTTTTGGGGTTTGGGGGGGTTGCAGTTTTTGGCTGGGGCTGGGTTTGAAACCACCACCCGCCACCTCTGGTATATGGGGCCGGCGCCTTACTCCTTGAGCCACAGGCATCACCCTAATTAACAAATTGTTGAAGTGCATAGTAGTTCAAGTGCTGGTCTTACTTGCTCTTCATTTGGGAACCCTTTTTTTCTTTTTTTTTCATTATACTCTTCATTCCTGTTCAACTATTTAATGAAGAATCTTGCTGATCTAATCTCAGTAACCACTAGATCCTAAAAAAAAACAAAGACAACACCTCACAAATGACCTTATCTTATATGTGAATATAATGTGCCTGCATCAAAATGACAGAGATGGAAGGAAGTCCTAAAAAAAAAGGAAAGCTTGTAGTCTTAATTCAGGCCTTTAATTTGTTTGTATATAATGTAATACTAAAAAAGGTCTTAGGACTTTGGTTACACATGAAGAAAAAAATGGTCTTCAATGTTCTTTTCTCAGTGGCCTGATTAATTAAGTATATGTCATATATATTTATTAACCTATTTATATGTTTATTTTTTCCTGCAGTCCCTGGATGGCTTTGTATTTGCACTAAATCAAGAAGGAAAATTTTTGTACATTTCTGAAACTGTCTCCATCTACCTAGGCCTCTCGCAAGTAAGTAAAATAATTTAGATTCTTGGCGGTGACTGTGAAGCCTCCTTCAGGTTCACTCTTTTCCTTCTATAAGGAATATCCTCCTTCACATGGACTATCACGTTATCTAATGGCTTTCCCCAACTGTTCTCTCAAAGTCAGTGAGAAACCTACGTGTCAGTGTTGAACGTTCAGGATAAACTTGCGCTCAAAAACTTTATCTCCCCCCACCCCAAGGATCATTATTAATTTATTGAGAACAAATGAAGTTTCTTCCCTTGGTTGTTTTGAACTTTGAAACCTCTGTGCCCGGTAGGAGAGGGACACACTAATAGTGCTTCCCTTGTGTCCTATTACTGGATGTTTATGGAGTACCCTGCATTATCCTGGGAGCTGACACAATGGCAGGAGTCATTTGGAGTCAAGAAATGCTGAAAGAGACCATTAAAATGTGTTGCAGGGAGGGCGCCAGCAAGGATGTATTTTGCTGCCTTTGCAAATGCCTCTTAATGCGGAAAGACAATTTCATAAAATAAGATGGCCTCTCCTTATTTGCCGTTTAATCACTCACACGTGTTTGTTGGAGGGTAAAAGAAAAGAAAATGGAGGCTGATGGGGCAGGGACAAAAATTTCGAATGTTAGTTCTGGATGTTCCCCTGGAACACAGACGTTTTAGTTCCGGTGGATTCCAAAACATCCTGAAGCAACGTTTGCAATGCAGCTAACTATCCAGATGTTTTCTACACAAAACTGCTGAACATCTGGGTATTTGTGCCTGCATAGGTGATTGGCGGAGTTTGACCCTTTTCATCTCGTGGTTTGGCACGAGGAAAACAGAGCCTCGGTGGGAAGGATTTTGTCTACGTGTGATGATCTGCCAAGTTGGATAACCTCTCATTCGGTTGCCCCTTGAAGCTAAAGATGGAGATGAGATTTGTCTTTCTCCTTTTAAGTAGAACCCACCCCAGACTCATTGCTTCTGAAAGTTGGCACAGCTCTAAGGAGATACCCAGCATGGCTGGAATCTCTTGGCTGTTCCTAAGTTCTCTGGGTAACAGCTAAATCAAGAAAGACGTTGAAAAATAATAAGGAGAGAGATTTGGCATTTGAGGAGGTCGGGGGAAGAAGAGAAACACTGCCAAATTTGATCATTTACTGTTGAGAATCCAAACAAGGGTCTGGTCTGTTAATGCTTCCTTGAGGAACATGTGAACTATTGGCTGGAGTACACAGAGTCATTCTATTTCATGTGGACTTTAGCAAACCGAGTTACAGACAGAAATGGAGCTACTGTTAACTCAGTATTAGTATTCTTGCATCTTATCAAAATCTCTGGTTTTGTAATAGCCGTTAGTTGACTTTAAGCCTTGTCTTAATCTGTCTGGGACCTAGTGATGAGAATCTTCAATTTTGGAAGTGGTGTGCCACCATGTTGCTGATGTTCTACAGAACTGGAGACGCCACTGTTTGTTCTGCGATGCCCATATTCATCTGTTTCCTGCAGAGTACCCAACAAAGTTTAATAAGCCAGTAAGGAAGAAGGATGAATAATTAGTTTAAGCAGGTAAATGCTAATTAGGGAACTCCTGAAAAGCATCCATTATATACTAGCTCAAAACACATTTTACAGCCTGGTTAGTGGTGTAATCCAAATTCTGTCAAGGCAACTGCATTTTCTGTAATTGAGATGTGTATGTTTGCTTTGCATAACAGATGGCTCTGTATGCTTAGACTGATAGCTAGGAAAATAATAATTGCATTATTCTGGCCAAAAGAATATTAGCTCTTGGGTTTTGGCCATTTCAGGCAGTCCTCCTGCCAGCACAGCATATGCACATATATGGATTGGATTTTCAAGGAAATTGATGCATCTGGAATAGTGTGGCCATCTGAAATATCATCTGTTCAAGAAAAATTTGGCTTTAACCCTGTGCTGGTTTCTCCTTAAAAGCAGTTTATTTTACTGCTTCTCTACTCTATCATTAAGTCAATCTTTTCCTAAAATATGAGACAAATAATTGAGGTTTCCGCAGAATAAAGCAGCTATGGTGTGGTGTCTGGCAACTTGTGTGTAGTCAGTCCCTGCTTGCCTGCTTTGATATGTATGTATGGGTTTTAAAGTCAGCGTCTTGACTTAACCACGGGCAGACCCTGGGTGAAGTGTACTGTTGCCTTCTCTCATGGTGGGTGTGTTCAGTGTTGGCAGAAATTGTCCAATATGTGGGTGGAAGCTGTGAGATATGGGACAAAGGTCTTCGTTTGGCAGCATTACACAACTGAAATGGTGAGAGGTGAATCAGTAGAAAGTGATGTTTGCATATACCAGTTTATGTACTTAGAGCTCAAAACCAAAATTTAAGACTAGTTGTGGGTTAACATGAAAATGAACTGATAAAGAGCATGATATGATCTTAAATGCCCAAAACATGAGGGAAAAGTAAATCTATGTTAAAACTTTAGGAAAGAGTTTCCAGGTAAGGTGCTAAGTCCTAATAGAAAATTGAGGACCCTGAGACATAACTCTTTTCAAGTTGAGTGCCATTTTTCAGTGATGGGGTGCTCAAGGGTGACATAGTAAACATCGTCTAAGTTATCCATTGCACTTTTGCAAATGCATACACACACACACACACACACACATACACACACACACACATCCTTAATTAAATGCAAACCAAATACTTTGCTTATGTTCTACAACTTTGGCTAAATAGTTATTCCATCAAATTCTGGACAGTCATAAGGAGTCTATAAATTTACAGTCCGTCTCCTTTCCTTTTTAAATTATAGTGTGTGCCAAAGGTTGCTTCTCATGTCACCATACATGGGGAAAATGGGAAATCACAGGTAAATGTACCTTTATTTACAAAATATTCATTACAGAATTTCACAAAGAAGGGGCCAACATGTTGGGAATATTTTATAAATATGTAATGAGTATTTTGCAAACAAAAGTACATTAACCTACAATTTCCCATTTTCCCCACGTACAGCAACCTGAGGGGCGACCTTTGGGACATGCTGTAGTTTTGTTAAACAGAGACAACGTGTAACTGTATCATCAAAAACTTGTCCGGCAAAATTTGGGGGGAATACTGCTCACATGTCAGTCTGATAGTCAGAACATAGCTGTATCTGCATTTGTGTTTCAAGATATTTCTTCCTCAGTTATATTTTCTTTCAACATGTAAATAAATATGGTGGCTTTAAAACGGCTTATGCTTAGGGAAGAGTTAGGATTCTTTTCTGGCTCATGAGAAAACAAAGCAGGGAAACTTCTGCTGAGTTCTGTTATGGAGCATAGAACATAGAGAAGTGGAACAGATTTTCTCTTCCACTCCAGGCAGTGGAACAGCTCCTGGCGCCCCACTGTGACATGCAGGCTGGGCACTGTCTTTAAGGTATTGTCATATTACTATGATGATGGGAATGAAGCGACTGATAGTGATGATGTCTGAACCTCCCCAGGAGCCCTTTTGACCTTGAGCTTTTGACTTCATATGTAAAAAGTGTATTTCCTTAGTTTAAACTCCAAGAAGTAGTTTCGGGTTATAGAAGTAGGATTCTTGATCTACTTTCCTGTGTAAAAATGATCTCCAGTTACTCACCATGAGACATGATCTTAAAGAAAGATCCCAACATACAGATGCTGAGTTCGGTTTGCATAGAGATTGAATGACTTCTTACATGGGTGATGGTGCTCAGAGCTGCACAGGACAGCTCTGCTCTCTAGCCATAATGGAACAAGCAGAAGCAAAAAAGAAGACAAAAAAACAGAATGGGTTCCCTAACACCGAAAATGTAGCAATGATGCACGGCCAGCTCTTATGAACCCTCTTCCAAAAGGTAAAGGGGCTTCATCATCAGAGAATCCAAAAGACTATAAATGAGAAATAAACAGCATTTCTAGTTGATATAGGATTTAAACCTTAGGGAAATATATGTTGGCTTATACCAGTGGTTCGCAACCTTCCTAATGCCACGGCCCTTTAATACAGTTCCTGTGGGTCACGACCCACAGGTTGAGAACCCCTAGCTTATCCCTTCCTCTTTGCACAAGGGATTTGAAATAGCTTACATAAACACACGGTAAAGATAATATCAAAATGGAACTAAGGAATAAGAAAAAAAGATAACAAAAGTAAGTAATCTATTAACTCATAGAAGAACATAAAAAGAGGCCTATAAGGGCAGCATCTGTGGCTCAAAGGAGTAGGGTACTGGCCCCATATACTGGAGGTGGCAGGTTTAAACCCAGCCCTGGCCAAAAACTGCAAAAAAAGGGGGGGCCTATAAAAGGGTACCAGAGATCCAATACAGTTTCAGTTTTACATATGAGCTTCATGGTAGCCATGGCAAAAAGGAAAATATAGCCAACTATCAAAAATAAGGAAATATAGCTTCCTAATGAAAGCAGGAATGATTTTTTTTTTTTTGAGATGGATTCTTAGTCACCCTTGGTAGACTGCCATGGCATCATAACTCCTAGCAACCTCAAACTCTTGGGCTCAACTGATGGTCTTGCCTCAGCCTCCGAAGTAGCTGGGACTACAGGTGCCCACCACAACAGCTGGCTATTTTTTAAGAGACAGGGTCTCACTCTGACTCAGGCTGGTCATGAACTCATGAACTCAAGCAATCCACCTGCCTCAGCCCCCCAGAGTGCTAAGATTACAGGTGTGAGCCACCACACCCGGCCAAGAATGAAATTTAGAAATAGGTCTCCCATCAGATTTGTTTAGAGGCTAATGTGTAGATTGTAACACTTCCCTTCAAGTCCACATTCACAGCCAGGCTGTAATGATCCACACAGCAAACACAAACACACATATTACAAACCCAATAAACAGGTAGAGCCGAGTCCTCCCTCAGCCGTGGGTGTGCTGAGAGGTGACATTCATTTTTGCTATCCAAGCCTCACAGCAGCATTGACTAGTTTGGTGTTTTATATGGTTTCAAAGCAACTTTCCTCCACCCACACCTGATCCTGAATCTTCTAATCCTCCTAAGAAATTTAGCT